TCCCGGCCCCGAGCGGGAAGCGCCGGTGCCCACAGCTGCCTTTTTCCGTGCGCAGAATTTAGGCAACCTTATTTTGGGAGAGCAGCTGCCGGAGGCCCAAGCCAGCACATCTCTAGAGGCAGCCACCAGCAAAACTGGGACAAATCACACTGGTGCTTCTGTCTCTCTCCGTCATGGTTTGCCCTGGCCAGACACGAAATGCCACACAGCCGCTCACTCGCCCTCCCCGGCCCCCAGGGAATGGGGAAGGGGATTAAAGGGGAAAAGGGAAGGAGACTCGTGGGTTGATATAAGAAGAATTTAATAATTGAAATTAAAAGAAATTAAAATAAATAATTATGAAATAATAGTAAAACCAATGATAACATATGATAATATAGAAAATTGATAATAATATATGCAAACAAGTGATGTACAGTGTAAATCCTCACCATCTGGTGACCAGCGCCCAGCCTGGCCAGCAATCCTGAAACCGCAACCCTGGAAGAGCAAGAGCCCCAAAGAGATCCAGAGAGAGAGAGAGAGACCCCAAACATCCCAGCCAACCTGCATCTGTATACTGGGCATTACGCTGCATGAAATGGAATATTCCAGTGGCTGATTTCGGCCTCAATCCTAAATCTAAGCTGAAATCATAAACTAGGAGTTGTGGGTCCTTTGTCCCGGCCACGCTCCCCTAGCCTGCCCTGCACCTGCACACTGGCAAAACATGGCAAGCTGGAAAGCCCTTGATGTCTCAGCAACAACTGTAAACATCAGCCTGCCACCAACATCCTTCTCATGGCAAATCCCAGACTAAATCCAAACCACTGTGCAACTAGAGTAGCTTGGCACTGGTTGAGTTTCACAGTTCTCTCTTAGTGCACCTTTCTCCACCTTTTATTTTCCAGCTACCCTGGCACAGCACACATGCCCTCTGTTCCTTCACTTCTGCAGTAGCATCGGCTAAATCAAGATCTAGGCATTAGGCCATCACTGCCATCCTAAGGTTGCCCAGCTGGGAAAACAAGGCCATCTGTTCACTCAGAAGCAAGCAGCGTGGCATCATCATGCTCCCTTACACCCTCATCTTTCCAATTCTGTCCATGCCCACCTCATCGTTCGTTTTTCTTCCAGCTTTAGCAACCAAACGGCTTGCACAAACAGCAGGTTTCCATCCGCAGCAGCAGGCAGTGCAAACCAGGAGCAGCGTGGTGCTTGGGAGTCCCTCCTGGACAACCCTGATAGCTGCTCGGGCCAGCCAGCTGGTGGCATTTTCCCATTTATCTTTAAGGCATTTGGCTGTTTCCAAGCCACTGGGTGGGAGAGAGAATCTCTCTCTGGAGCTGCAGTAGCTGGACCCTATCGCCTAGGCAGTGTTGGTGTAGCTGAAGAGGACAGCTAGGGAAGGAGCACTGTCAGGTCTGCAGCAAAACAAGCATCAGAAGAACGAGGCGTTTTATACGGTTTGCTCTGCCAGAGGGTAGGAATTTTAAAATTTTGGAATGGATAGGTCCAACCAGTCAGGGTTGCTTGCAGCATGAAGGTGAACGAGAGTATCAACGACTCAGGTGGCACAGTGAGCAGCAGATTGCATTTTTGGGGTAACACTAATTCACAAATTCCGTGGACAGGTGTATGCGCTTCCTTTTGTCCAGGAGGACAGGAATTAAGGAATTTGCAGGAATTAAAGCTGTACGGTGATGTCTGCAGGACACCATGGTTTCAGTAACCCCCATTATTACAGCAGTTGCCTGATGAGAAGAGGTTCACTGCCAACTTTTCCCATCACATTAGCTGGTTTCTCAGGAACCAGGTTGTTCTGGGGAGCAAGCTGGGAAAAGGAGCTAAGACAGTCTGCGGTCCCCAGCCCTGCAGGCACGCTGCTGCTGGGCAGCAGGAACCAGAAGCACTGTCTGTACAGAAAAATGAGGTGGAAGAGTAAAAAATTCCCTTCTCTTTCTCAGCACTACCTGAGCACGTTCAAGTACGAAATTCGTATCAGACCCTTCAGCTGTAAACTGCAAATTTCTAAGCTTCTTCTCTACTCCCAGCAGCTCCTCCTGTCTTTCCATCTATTTCAGCAGATGGAAGAAAAGATCTCACTTTCCAGTTGCAACATTATTTGCACTGCAGTTAAAAAAAAAAGGCGTGTTTAAACTGGTTTTTAGCCCAAATCCACGAGCCATCAGAACATAACACAGGCTTAACCGTTCCGAAAGAACTTGAGTCAGCGTCCTGGGTCCATCACACAAGGTCATCTTCTTTCTCCCAAGCGATCTATCTGAAAGAAGTTTAAACCCAGAGACAACATCCTGACTTCAGACACAAGACCGACCTTACGTCAAATACACTCGGCTTTGCCTGAAAAGTGACAGATTCCAACCAAAATGGCAGCTCACCAAAACCTTCTGCGACCTCACCCCTACACCCACGGGCAAAGCATCACATCATGTCGTTGAGTGACAAAGGACAGTACTTGCACACAGATACTTTTTTTTTCTTTTTTTTTATTGCTGTTAATTCAAGGAAAAAGGTTGCATAAAATCCAATCTCTTCTAGAAATATAAGTGACCTTTCCAGTACATTTCAAATATCAAAGTATATGGTAAACATACAAATAAAGAGAAGGTAACATACCTCCTATTTACAGTACAGTATTTTAAATCATAAAATAAGTTCCATAAAGTACAACTGGCAGGTAATTCACAATACAAGTCCATTGGTGGTTTAACACCCTCACTTCAACTCAAACGCAGTTCATTCATTTCAAGTGGTCCAAAAATACCCAGATCAAATAAAAATTTTAATCAAAATAATTTTCATTTACTACTTAAACTTTTTTTTTGTTTTGTTTTGTTAAATTAAAGCTTTCATCTACCTCCCTCCCCATTCCCCCCCTCCAAGAAAAAAGTTTCAAAATGTACACTGGTGCTATAAATATAAATGCTACCTATGAAGAAATGTAGTAATCAAGCTTTTTTTTTTTTTCTTCAAGTTTTTCGTTTGTTTAGCAATTTATTAGACGGCTGAACCAAAGACTGATTTTTTTTTTTTACTTCATCCCTCTACCGGCCACCAGGTCTGATTTTAAGAAAACACATTTCTGCCATGAACTGTGAGGAATGCCAAACCCTATGGATATACAGTGGTAGTTGTTCGTCGGTGTTGAATGCAGCAGTCAAAAAATACACTCATCTTCCAGATAACCTCAGTGCACTTTAGGAAATCAAATATTACCTGGAAGCAATTTAGTACATATATTGGCTTTTAAAAATAAAATAAAAAATACAGCAGCATTAAACTTACTTACTCATGATACTGACATGATTAATACCATCTGAACACTCATTTCAGTCTTTCACATTATACCGTAATTACGCAGAGTGGTAAATTGTTATAAAATAGTGACTTTGCTATTTGGTAGACAGGTTCTAGTACTAATACCTGACTATTTTGTAGAAAAACCATAGCTTTTGTTCAGTTTGAAAGAAAACATTTACATTCTAAGTACAATGCAACACTGTAATAGTTTAGGAAAAAAAAAGATTCAATCAAGTCATGTTCATTCTGTGTTGACGCGATGTAGAACAGCTTTAAAAAAGGAAAAAATGCTGTCGACTTTCATTACAAATGCAAACACACTGAGTACAACATTCATACCATTGTTTTCACCTTTGTTGCTGAACATACAGGCTAAAAAGCTACAATGGAAGAAAAAATCTGTCAATTTAAGCTCGTTCATTGTTCTAAATCTGTTCCAGTCCACACAGTTTCAGCCCCTTCCTGCTCTGCGTATTTTCATTTACGTGGGACTCTCAAGAGCTGTGTGTACATGTTGTTATCAGATCGAGGACACGTACGGTGTCGTGTGCTCCTCTGGACTCTCCTAACAGGACGTTTGAACATCTCCCCTCAATTCATGAGCATTAATTTAGAGGACGGGCAGGGTCTGTATGAACTGCTAAACACTCATGCAAGTCCAACGATTCCACGTGGACAAACAGGGAAAGAAAAACCAGCAGCATAAGGAGAACGGGGAGGGAGAGAGGGAAGAAGATTGTGGTGGGGAACGTGACCAAGTTTCTTCTTTCACCATATGGCTGCTCCACCAGTGATGTCAGAGGTCAGGACTTTATTTTTTTTTTAAAAAAAAAAATGCAGTAAACATTGCACATGTCTCAAGTCTTCAGTGCAAAAGCATGGTTCGAATGCTCTTTCTGATTGTTTGGCTGTGTGTCTCAATTACATGCATTACGCAAGCCTTTTGTAGAACCAGGAGGAGACCAGGGACTCAGCTTTCTTCTTTTTGTATGGAACAGAGGTGCAAAAGCAATGAAAAATTCCAAAAGAATATAGAACCGGGAATGTCCCAAAACACAAGACCACCCCCCCCCCTCCCACACACACACCTTCCCCCAGCTTCCCAAGCTTCAGTTTAAGTAGGCAATGTTTACTTGTTTCAGTCTGCAGAATCCAAGGTATCATTGGAAGGGGGAGGGGGAGGTGCGTATCTCAGTCTGTAAGTGCCTAAAACAGGAAAGAGAACTACTAAGTCACTGCTCACAAGTAAAATGGATTACAAAACCACTACAAGGTATCAAAATGGGCATGCTCTCCAAAAGGCACTATTATCCTCCAGTCCTTTTAAAGTAGGTCCTAAGATTTCATACTATTTTCTTTCATCTGCTTGCTAAAACTGTAAGTTTAAAAAAAAAAAAAGATATCGACCGTAGATACAGGACGTTGCCTTTACTGGAAAAATGCAAAGAAAAGAGGATCCCCATCAAGGTTTGTCTTTCCCATTCCAGTCCGACCAAACAAGTAAACTCAGACTGGACACAGGCCAGGAATCAAAAATAGTTTATGCTCTCTGCAAACACTGCGTTTTCCCCACTCATCTGGACGGAGAGAGAAACGGCGTGTAAGACTGAAGCCATTCCTTTGATTTTTAGTTCCAATTGGTTTCTGCTTTTTTACTGCAACTTGTGGGAAAAGTTAAAGCACGTTTCATTTATGTTCTGCAAGATGGGGCACAGAAGGATGGCTGATTGCGCAAAGGTTAAGTTTTAAGAAAGTTAAATTATCAAATGGCCAGCCTGATGTTTGTGTTTTTTTTTTAAACTTCTATCAAGTTTTAAGAATCCAAGACCGTTTCATAGACAGTAACTGATATCTTTCACTTTTTGCCAATGGATTCTTTCCAAAAAGACACTGAACGAGAACGGAAAAATTGAAACAACATGCAAGTCTCAACATAATGCCAAAAACAAACCAGTGAAAAAAGAATGACAATTTAGGACTGATAAGAGTTCGACTTCCCAGGTCCGAATCATACCCATTGCCAACTCCACGCCGTGAACCCCGTTCCCTTGCACTGTTCTACAGAATTTCCAGGCAGAGATAAGATACTTTGCAGTTTTAGAGCAGGTCACTAGTGCACAACCATTTACACAGAACATACACACGCACGCACGCCTTTCTGCAAGACCAGAAACAGCACATTCAGAAAGGTAAGGAGAAACTGCTAAACTCCAAAGCAAGTCCGCTGGGAGTTATCGTGATTACCTTGTTGACTGGCCTCCATGGATGACTGCTTACAGTCCTGCGCATAGTGTCCACTTACACCACAATTGTAACACGAAACGTTCCCGTTCTTCTTGGGTCCCGACCCATTTGTGTTGGCAACTACGTTAGGTGCTGGATATACAGGATAGAACCTCCCGAATCCTGCCATCTGCTGCATACCATAGTTGGCTTGGCTCCCCATCACTGGGTCATGCATAAGCCCGTTTGCATACGGAGACTGAGGCAGGAAGAAGGGAAGTTGTGTTCCATTGCTTTGATGTGCTTGATTGAGGTAGCTGCCATTGCAAAGTGATGGCAGAGTGAAGAAGGATGGGACTCTGTAGACTTGTCCATGAAGTGGGTTATGATAAAAATAGCTATTAATCTGAAGGCTTCCATTGGTCCCACAGCTACACCTACGTCCGCAAGAACCGCAAGGACCAGATCCCAACTGCTGCGGAGGCAACATTGTCCCGTTAGTGGTGTTATTTCCAACGGCGTTGATGTAGGACGTGCTGTCGCTCTGCGCAGTGCTGTGTGTCAGAGCGGGGCTCGGGCTGGGGGCAGGGCCTGGCGTGTGGGTAGGGATTGCGGGGGGAACGGTGGACTGGACCTGACCGACACCTAAACCGGCCGACTGAGGTGGTGAGGAAGTTGCTACAGAGTTCAGCACGTTTGTGTTCTGGTTGGGCAACACACTGGTGGCGTGAGGACTGCCTGGCAAAGCGTATGAAGCTGGTGGAGGTGGCGCTGCTGCTGTGGAGAGACCAGCTGCTGGAAGAACTACCTTTAGATTGGTAGGCTGAGGGATTGCTCCTGCGGTTCCCTCAATGTGAGGCACCATTTGATTCAGTCCTACCACCTGGGATGCAGGTTTTGTGATGGGATCTGTAGTAGGAACTGGAGATCCTGGGAAACTACCTGGACTGTGGACTGGGATAAAGGCAGTATTTGGTGATCCAATACTTAAGTTTCCTGTCGGCTGCTGCGGTCCATTAACTGTGCAACTTTCCGATGATCCCTGGGGAGAGGGCATTTTCAATCTATGTATTGCCAAATGCAAAGCAGGGCTACCAGGCTGGACAGAATGTGGGAGGAAAGTGGATGGGACTGGCAGAGGGGAAGCCATCAGCTCAAGGCGTTTCTCGGGTTCACCAGAGGTCCCTGGGCCCATTCCACCAGGAGGTGAATTCGCAGACTCTCTCGCTGGCGAGACAGCAACAGGCGTGGTAACGAGCATTCCCATCGTTTTGCCATCTGCGGATATGGGAGGCGGGACAACTGCTTCAGGCTTTTGGGCAGCGCTGTGCATCACACAGTGTAAGGCAGGCATGAAGGAAATGTGTTGAAACTTCGCATTCAAAGGCTCTTCTGAAAGGCTTCCGTTTTCACTATTCACTGAAGAGATCTGAGCAGATGACTTGTTCAGATTTGATGAACTGACAGCACTGTAGCCTGTAAACCTGGTTGTGTTTTGATTCCCAGAGTCCTCGGAATTGCTGTCTGTATCTGTGGAGACCAAAGCATTTGTCAGTCAGAAGAATAAACCTGAAAGATAGGGTCGTGCCCTGGACTCATTTACCCAAATAAAGCCTCTTAAGTTTGATGAGACGAATGATAGTTGTCTTCCCGAATCGTAACAACTTTGAGATTATTCTCGTTCATCCAAATCAAGCTACGCCGATGCCCACACTTGCCTGTATCAAACTGCCCAACTAGCTACTGTCTCTTTGGCTTGTGTCTATCTGCAAACGCAAAGAGCAGGACGCAGATGGAATCAGGGATGTGCATCTACGCAGAAAGACATTAACACAGCTTCCTCAAATCTGGAAGGTGGCAAATTAAACTGCCAATACAAGAAGGACCTCTCAGACAAGCCACACTTCTTTCAATATAAAACCAGTCCCTTTCATGCCCAAGTTTTTTCCATTGCTGTACTGCTGAAATTTCTCAAGAGAGCTACGCCACTGAGGTCAGACAATGACTACATGTCTGTAGCAATCTAATACTCAACCGTATTTAAACAGTCCTGCTGTCTGCTAGAAGCCTTCGAACCATCCAGTCACAAAACCCACAAAGCAAAATGTGTCCTGTGGCTAGTTCAGAAATAAAACCAGATAATAAAACTGAGTAACTAATTAAAATTAATACAGTCTAGGAATAAAGATGTTCATGCACACTTTCCATAAATACAACCTCTGTCTTTTTCTTCTTCACTATCAAAGCTTTCCCTCCCATCATGTCGTGGACTAGAAGGAGAACTGTAACTTTCAGATGATGTTTCTCCACATGTATCATGACCAGATCCAGCGTCCAAATTCAGATCTAGAAACAAAAATTGGCATTTTTATTTTTAATCTCAGTATATGAAAGTGGGGTTATTTTGGTTTGCTCACACCCCAAGCTAATTCAGATTTTTGTTTGTTCCTACTTAATTGCATCTGTCCCCTGTATTCCCAACATTCCCACTCCCAGCATTCAGGACTGGTCTCCTCCCAAAACCTGTCATGACTGAATCCTTGGTGTTAAAGGCAGTGACACTGAAAATACATATTTATGGAGAACAGTGAAAATGATCATCCTTAATAAATTTTATGATGCTTATACCAAATTGTGCTACAATAATAATTCCTTCTGAATGGTAGTGATCAAACGTTTCCATTCAAACAGGTGCAACACCCCTGGGTCATACCAGCAAGGGCAGAAAGCTAACTCAGCGGGCAACATCAAAATAATGCACCTTCTTACAATTAACTCCTTCAGAGCAGAGGCTTTAAGCAAACTGTACCAACAAAACCTGTTTAAAGAAAAAGAGGTGAACCAAAAAAAGTTTTCCAAACTCTGGATGAGATCATGGGAAACTGATTTGCTGAAAATCAGCTGTCAGGGTGGGCTCAGAGACTATTAGTGAGTTCAAGTAGGCAGCCAGTACGCTCCCAGCTTTCAAGTTCAGCCTCAAGGGCAAAAGAGCAGGACAGATGCCAGACACCAGCTTCAAGGAAACACCACCCCCCAACACCTTGGCTGGCAAAGCTCCAGGACAAAAATTAGAACACTATTCTTTATTTTATTAATCCTAATAAATTATTATTTTATTAATTTGTTATCGTTATTGCAAGTTTAACAGGTTGGGACAAGTCATCAAAAAGCTGCCTTAATGTTTCAATTCTTGAAATCATTTCCCGGATTAAACCTGAAATCAGTCAAATTATTTCAACAAGTGTTTTGAAGATCTAATAGAACCCTGGAGCAGCACTGTCAACCTCAGATCACCAAAAGCAAGAGTCTAAAGTGCTAGTCACAAATATCAAGTCTTTAAAGTTGCAACTAACTGATGACTCAGAAAAAAAAGGGAAGAAAAAATGGAAAAAAACCCATGATGCGGTTAAGAGTTACTGACTCAAAATAGAGCATTTCAAACCAAGCCTGGCTATACAAAGCTAGGCAGAGATTTAAATTTTTCCTTTAGATTATGTTTCCAGTAGGTTATCTCAAAAGACTTTTTGATGTTTTTACACAAGAGCACAGGTAGAAAGCTCATCTCTGAGCGGGATTTAATTGCTTCCAGCCTCTGCAGGTTGCAGTTTCTTCTTGGAGTGGCCTGAACGAGCCAGACAGGCAGTTTCACATCTGTAGGGTAGTGAGCAGACAGAACTCCCGGTGCAAAGTTAAATAGGGAATGCTTTGCCTTATGTCACACAAAGCTGCATCACCTCTTCAAGTTATTGTCAGCTCATAAAAGCTCGGTGCATTTGGCCTGACAAGAACAGTAATCCATCCGAAACGTATGCAGCAAAGCTGTTCTGTAGAGTATGTTTTCTGCTGCTACAGCCCTCAGCTGTAACTTTCTAAAATCGTCCTGGTTTTCCTAATCTTGTCAACTGTGAATCCTTAAGGTTTTAGTCAAATACTGTTTGTAGAAGGCAACAAAAACTGCCCATAAACCACATAACTCAGAATGGAATCCACCTGGAACTCTCAATGGTAAGAAGAAAGAATGAAAGTTTAATCAAGACTTCACCCCAAGTGGAAGCAAGAGCAAGCCAAGGCACTTTGTAAGAGTCCTTTCAACGCTTACACCAATTAGGTGGTGTAGAAAAAACTTCTTGTCAACTCTCTGTCATGAGAGCTAAGTATAAGAGAGGTGAGGCTGCAGCTGATTTTGGGAGATCAGCAAACATCGAGATGGCAAAGTCAGTGGGTAACACAGCCCTTCAGAAATTTGTAATAAAGCTTGGAGACTCCATTTACTAAAGGAACACAAATATAATTTTGTCTTATAACTGACTGACGTACACAATCCTTGGTCTAGACACCAGATTTTGTTGGATTACCCAAACTTGAAAACCCTGTTAGGGTAGGGTACACAGTTTTGTGTTGTAGCTCAGTAGTCACTTGGTTTATAAAATACAGTTCAATGGTTCACACCAAAGGGTTTTCACCCAGGTTCCTCCTGGGCCGTTCCACAATAGCTCAAGAAACTACTGAGCTGCAAAGAGAATGCTAATGATGAGATGCTGGACCTCCACGCGCTCAGACTGCTAAATTTCATATAGAAGTAGCCCAACATTAACCGTTTCTGCAACTACTACTTCACATAAGGCAACTTCTGGAGACTTTACTAGGATTTTTCCAGTTATGCATGAAAAGAGACATACCCTAAGCAATTGCACACAGAAGACTGAGTCTAACACGTTCTGCACAGCAAGTCAAAGCATAGACTAGATATGACATGCTGACTTGAGACAGATTTCACACTCCTAATTTCCTCTTTACTGCAGAAAAAAGGAATAAATCGGCAAACCTGGAAATTCTGTTTCTTACAAACAGCTTGGGGAAAAACATCTTACCTTTTGCTGTCCCTGGACGAATGTGCTGTGAGGCTGCAACTCTAACTCCGTTAGTCCTGGTATTCAACCGGCAGTCAGTTTTCTTCGCTTTCTCCCTGTGTAAATAATTATCATGTTGTTTTTCTTTGTTTGTTTTGTGGTTTTTTAACAAATGCATGGTCACAAATAACCAACCATGAATGAACATTGTAAACAAAGGCAGTGACTCCAGGCCAGAAATGTATAATTAACAGATATAACAACAAATGTAGATAATAAACAAATCAGTAAAGCCTGTTAGTGCAATATACCAGGAACTAAGCTGCAAGCAATGCTACTAAACACTACGAATAAAATCTAAAAAAGAAAAAACACAGAAAAAGAAAAGGTGCAGCTGATTCTGCAGTCACCTTTGAAAGCTGATGTCTGTAACGCAGATGTACATCAGACTAGTATAAAAGCATCTGGCTACAGAGTAATAAAATGACAGCAAGTCAACTTGCAAGTAGGCAGAGTATTAGGTAAGGGTGGAAATGTTTTCACTCCCTCGCAGTGCAGGATTGTGTGGCACACAGAAAGCTCTGAAGCCCCCTGATGTGCAAATTATCTTCAATAAAACATCTCAGCAAGTTACCATACACCGCGCAATGTTGAAGGTTGCTGTCAATCCTTATTTGATTTTCAGTGTTTTCTGGACAGCTTTACGCTTTTTCATTTTCAAATAAATATAAAGAAAAAAAGACAATTCAGTATGAGTTAAGAACATACTCCTGCTCCTTCATCTTTTTGCTAAGTGGCAGCTGAAATTTTAAGAAACGAATACATACAATTACATTCTATTTTTCAAGGTACTTCTTTTCAGAAGATAAAATAAGTATTTTTATGTAGATTGGCTGCACACCATGCCAGCTCTTGTTCCACAACAGCAGAACAAAGCATTTAATTGACTGTAGACTCTGTTTATCAGTGTGAACGCATTACACTTTGTTTCAGGATTACTGGTTACGTTGGAAACCTACTTTTCCAGCTGTGGCTTTCCTTTCTTCTTGCTTACTGTAGACAGACTTCGTTTTTCCATTGTATGCTAGACAGAAAATACAAAGTTGCCAGTCAAACAACAGAAATTTTATCACGAAAAACAAAAAAAAACCCTTCTAGACTGACAAGTCCATGAGTCCAAGACTACTGTGCTCACAGGTCCCCTAACCACACAGACAACTACTTGTTTGGTGCATTCAGGCCTCTGGAATAACACACCTTGTCTTGTGTTTATGCCATTATCAGCAAAACACCCAGCAAACTACTACCTGCAAATATTCCAAAGATATCAATCAGATTATTGTTTGCATGCTGTCTTTCCTTTGGAGGATAAAAAGGAAAGTGTTTCATCATATACCGGCTAAAAAGGCTCATGACAAGGCTTAAGGGGCTACAGAATTTATTGATTTAAGTGGAATTATTTGATGGTTGAGGGGTGGGGAGTACATGTGGCAAATTATTTTTACGCAGTGACAAAGCAGGTACCCAGCCTTAAACTAGAGGTTGCTGCTGAACTAAACTCTAGAATAAAACCTAGAAGCACGTAAGAAAAAAATAGCTTCTGCATGATTCTTTAAGTATGCCATTACTAGCTGCTAGTAATATCTCGTATTTGGCAAAGGAGTAAAATTTATGAACACTCAGAAATAATCTCTGTCCAAATATGCTGTATTTGGACATCCTTTAAAGAGGAAGCAGCTTTTCCTCTGCTTTAGTATATTAATTTTTTTCTTGCCTCGAGCTTACAATATTTTAAGCTTTGATGCAATCTACCATTTCTTCTTTAGATTTAAATCTCAATTAATTACCTTGCTTTGTGCAACAAGGAAACTGTTTTTGTTTGACTTGCTATTCCCCACATCGTAATCAATAGCCAAATTCTGCATGTAGGATAAGAGTAATATTAAGCAATTTGAACATGCAAAGTTTTTCAGGCGTAAGCAGTGAGCAACTTTCCTTCCCTAAATTTCAGCAGATTATTTTATTTATAAATAAATATTATTCTCAACTATACTAACACCAAAATTGACCATTGAAGAGGCACAAATCTCACAAAAAGTGTATATGCATCTAGCTATTAACTTTTTTCAACAAAGATTAATACTTAAGCTACTTAGATACTGCAGGTGAGATAGAAAAAAATATGTTTAATCTGTTCTCCCTACTGCAGCATTAATACGGTTTAGTCATTAATATAGCTGCTAGTATGCTCCTTGCAATAACATAGAAACTCCCCAGGTGTTCTGAAATTCTCTCTGATGACAATATATTAAAATAACAGGAAAGTGATTAGAAATGAACATTAGACTTTTCTGATTACTTACATCCTATTGGGAAATTTTATTTACAAATTCACAAACAAAACACGCAACTTTACGATCCAGCGGTGAGTAACGATGGAGGTCTTTCTACTCAAGGTAAGTCAGTAGCAACTTGAACTTCGGCACTTATTTGCACCGATTTAACCGAGCTCTCCATCTTTTAAAGCTAAATCTAACCATCTGTAGTGGACTTTCTTTTCAAGCGTCTCCAAAAGTTGCTTTGAAGAAAAACCAGCAACGCACCTGGTCAAGTAGGTTTGTACAGTGCTCTGGGTGCTGCTGGACAATACAGTTTTTTCTTCTCCAGTCCATTACCCCGTTTTGCTCAGAGTGCTGTATGTTAAGGCTATCCAGTGAAGAACATTTTGCACTGCTAGTGCTGCTGAAAGGAAAAAGCAAAAGTTATGTCAATGTGAACAAACCCGCAGGCTTTTCCTACCAACGTACACATTTTTGATTCGTGTTGGGAAACTGCGGTATTTTCCTTTCAGAAAACCCTAGAAAGTCTCAAAAGAGTTAAAAGATGTAAACTACAGGACTTCTTGTGCTCTAAAGTTATGCTAATGATCTGAGCATAATTGGAGTACTTTTTTTTTTTTCCATTTGTCTACTATAATCTGACACAAAATTCAGAACAGAATTTGTAGAACACAGTACTTGAGAAAAGTTTCCATGGATATTTCTGCACACAAAGTCTTTTTGTTTGCTTTTTTCATGCCAGACGTGGGGAAATTTTCTGGATAGAAACGTATTCAGAATTTGTCTTCTTTCTTGTTAACAGCAAAGCTGGAATTAGTTCGTAATCTCTCTTTCAGAATTCATGATATATTTAAGTAAAGAAGTGCATGGCTACTTAGAGACCATAATGCTGCTGTGTGTGTTTGAATTTTAAAGTAGTCATCTTGTTTTGTATTTTTACCTCCAGGATTGCTCATTTTGTGTAGTGCTGGGAAACCGTGACTGCTAGTTTTGAGGAGTGCTGGAAAAGGGGAACTGCATTTGGCATTTATTCTGGATCTTGTAACGCCTTCCATGGAAGCTTCTCATAACCGTGGCTGGTCAGAAGCAATATTTAACTAGGTCTGAGAGCACTTGTCAACAAATGCTGCTGGAAAAACACCCATTCTGACACTCAGTAGGGCACATGGACCTGTAAACTTTTAGTCTATGGTCTAAAGCCATGCCTTACTACTGACTGGATGAAAAAAAAAATAAAAAAAGGGAGTTAACACTTCTAAATTCTTATGAAAATGCTGATAATTGAAAGTGCCTTTTAATTCAGAGCTCTTGGCAAGCTGCTTCATGAAGGTTACTGCAATACAAAATGTTACTCAGTTCCCAGGACGGCAGAAATCTCGCTCACTCGGAAGCATGAGATGTGCTGAAGTTCTAGTAGCTACTTACCGAACAGCTCTGGAAATAAGTGCTCCAACTACTTAAAAGATGAACAATAGAACACTAAAAAAAAATAGTTGAAAAAATGCTGAGAACCCAAGAAGGTCCCACCACACAGACATGAGCCCATGACTGCAGAGATATAAGCAAGGTCACTTTAGAACCTTCTGCTGAATGGAGTTAAGTGAATCCGCTGCCAAATTTGCAGTCATTTCATGTAAGCTGTGATATTACTAAATTTTTTATTATGGATGTCCGGTCTCATTCCTACCAATAAATTTTTGGACCTTTTCAAGAGTAAAGCTGCCATACTGAATAAAAACAAAAGGCAGACAGATGTTTTCCTGAAATCTATCAATGCTGTTTCAGATGAACTGCTCTTGACTCTAGACAGTTTTATACGTATTTAAAAGATAAAGTTTCATTCAGTGCCATTTCTTTAGAACCCATAGATAGAAGGCACAGATTTTAAGAAGAGACAGACATATAACGTGAACAAGAGAGGACTAACAGACCTCTAGCAGCCAAGCAGTAAAGACATTTTCCCCTTTTAAATAAACAGAAAATAATAGTTAGCAAAATAAATTTCCATCACAGAAGTTTGTGGAAAGGCCTGTCTGTCTTTCCTACCTGAAAGACAGATCCTAAGCTACAGTCAGCTTGAGTATACTTTATTATACAATGAATAAGACAATTTTTTTATTAGTAACTATATGTTAGTAAGTTTGGATCCCGCTCTTACGACTTCATAGCAGGCTGTATATCCACTGGTATAATCAAGAGATTTTGTCAAGATGACATTCTCTTCAGGAAGAAATGTAAGTGGAGAGTAAGTAGGAGGGTTAAAAAACAAAACAGAAACAAACCACTGAGTTGTCCAATTGGTAATTTCACAAGAATACCATCTGTTGAAGACCCGTGAACCTTAACCAACACTGCTTTGTGCTATGTTTATATTCTAATTATTGTAGTTCCAGGTGATTTCCCCCTCTCCCTTGACATAACGATATTTTCCAGATAAACCAACACAGAACAAACCTGTAAACCCCAATAATTTTTTTATCCATTTTTTCCTCTTAATATAGTTGAAGTATTGCACAACTATGTGCAAACATATCCAAAGTTTGTGGACAAAGTACATTAATCAGTGAATTCACATTACATACTTCATGTACATGAAAGCATATATAAGCTACTTTAATATGGTTAAGAAGTGCTTCCACTTCCAACGGACATAAACCAGCAAGGTGTACACATTTTTGCTACTAAGCAAGGGAAAGAACAAATTATCTTCTCCTGTAAGGTCATTTTGAAGCAACTGAAGAAAAGCTTAAAACCAACATCTCTGGAAATTTTCAGTATATGTATGGGGGGGTGTGCACACGGGAAAAATACATGCAATACAAATTTATATTACTCAGCTTATAAACACAAATCAAAACATCAACTCAAGTCATGAAGATTCACAAAATTTGTGAGAGTTCCAAACAATCTAGACCTACAGATTTAGAAACGGTATCTTTTGAAATATTTTTCTAATACAGATTAAGTCAATAACATCCTCCAAATAACAAAAAATAAAACAAGAACACCCCACCCAACAAAAACCCCACAAACGAGCTTTAATCTAGAAGGAAACACACACTCCCAAAGCACAAGCAAATGAAATTCAGAAACATAGCGTGGTCCCATTACATCCTAGTACCTACTTGGCAACAGGACTTTTTCCGTTATGTTTCTTGTGAACTGCTGTGTGTTGCATTACATCTGGAAAAAAAAAAAATAAATGAAGCATAATTTCAACAGCAATTCCTATTTCCTCTTTTAGATCAATCCTACAAATTCATCTTTCCATCACTACTGGACACTTAGCAGAAGACATCTCTGTTAAACAGGCTAGGCTTAATTTACAGTGCTGAAATGAACAGATGGTGCGGAGAGGACGGATCGGTTTGAACAGACGGTGGAATCAAGACTCTTTACCCTCCATTTCACAGAAGAATGAAACAGAAAAAGAGGAGCCATAACAACCATTTAGGTTTGCTCACCTCTACGTTTAATCATAAGGACTAAACGTGTGACTGAATATCACCCAGTGTGAAAGGATGGAGAGAGAAGAAAGGATTCAGTCAGAAAAGTACAGAATTCTGTAATTTTTTCTGAACTGCCAAAATTAATCTCAAAAGTACATCACACATTGTGAATAGTGAATGAAAACAAGTCTTAATACAGAAGTATTGTATTCTGAACCTCAAAATTCACTATGCAAATCAAGCTTTACAAATTACATCTCACATAAAAAGAGATACTGCCTCAAACAAGAAACAAGAACTTTGAAGACATGGTCTACCCTTTTCTTTAAGGCAAGTGTTTAACAAAAGCAACTTTTCTTAATTCCAACTATTGATCTTAGCCTTCTTGGTAGTTATCATTTTGCTGGAACTCCTCTCTGTGCTACGTGTAAATCCAAATTATGATGGGGGGAGGTGTGGGTGGATCACAATTTTTAAACTTCTGGTAGCAGTTCACTAAACAGCACAAAAAGTGTTCTGAAATGCATTTGTAGTTTCATCAGGTGAATAGATTTTTTATTTTTTTTTTAAGGACAGTATATAAAACACTATTGGAGCAATTTCCAAATATATTGTAAATTTACTTGGTGCATTCTGAACCCTAAAGAAGAATATGGCAATTATTTTTTTAAATAAGAAAAAGCTGTTTCAACTGCGTATGTGGATTACTGATTGCACGTAAGATCAACCGCAAGCTTCTTATTAGCTATTGTGACATAATGGGGTACGAGTGTTGTCATTCTGGCAAAGCTAGTGCAAGTGTTCAGTGGTCCACGTTCACCTACCAGTGCCACTTCTCATCCTTTCCACCTACCAGAAGCTTAAACTTGTTCGCTACCAAAAATAACGCAAAACTGGCTGGTCATTCCTTCCAGATGAAATGACCGACCAGCCACTGGGCTGCTGCTTCCACATGTGAACTGTTCTTGAGGTATCTGGAAAACACCAGCCTTCAGACTGTAAACAATACTCCCAGCAGTCCCAAACAGTCCTTATTAACAGTCCAGAGTATAAAAGCAGCATAGGTTGAGAGTAAGAAGAGGAAAACGTGAATAGCCTTTCTGTGTAAAACTGAAAGCTTAGACAAATTTGGCACATTTAATGCAAAACAGCCTGCAACTCTTGAAATGCTGCACTCAAATTCTAACCCTGGTAACTGAAGAACAGGTAAAGACATGAAAAGCTACAAACAATCTTGGCTCAAGTAAATTGTAAAGTATATCTTCCTGGTTGCTTAATGTAGCTGTGAACATCTGCCTCCAAGCTGTCTATGAACACTCCCACTCCCTGGATTATACAGCAATCTCCTAAGGAAACTGCTGAAAAGTATACAAAAATTCTTCGTTTACATAGCAGTATTCATTCAAATCTCTCAGCTTTGTACCAATGAAGAAATTCAGTCAACTGTATGACTTCCAGAACTGAGTGTGGCAAAATTTCTCAGAGAAGAACCACCTTTGAGTACACAACTACCTTCCTCCTGACTTGAAGCTTCTGAACTGTCCTCCTTGAAGTGTTCTGGTGCCTTAACCGTCTTCAAAGAGGGTTGTAAGTTACCTGCAGAGAATAAAGTTCACGTAGTAACTTTATAGATCTTGAACAACTAGACAGTTCCTGAATGCTTGCACTAAACTGGAAGCTGGGGAAACGGAAAACTGAACTTCCTGGTTTGCATGTGGCAATAGTTTGAACATTGTCTCCTTCAAAGCTGGCCATCTCCAAGAGTAAAGGCTCTATGGAGATACATTTGTTTTGAAGAAAAGAGTGTGCAAAGCAATTTTAAAGCTATGGTGCAATTTCAAAAGGTTGGGACTGTTATTATAGTATTAGAAATGTCCCCATTATCCTGCACTTCAGATTTTTTATCATCTTTTTTTTTTGTGTTGCAGCAGGAAATGAGAGAAGACTAAAGATAGTTACTAGAATTCTTCTACAACAATTTACGCTCCTCCATTGTCAAATTATTCACCTGCCAAGAGACACCTAATTTGGGCTAAAGTCTTCTAGCGCCCTTAAACACAGTCTTCACGCACAATTTTTGCCTTTTTATGCCAGACAGGATGGAAAAAGAAATGGCAAGAATAATTACAGTTTTGTTGCAAAAATACCACTGCTCTAAAAAAGGACTAAGCTTGGT